CCGGTGCGCTACGACAACCTGTCGCGCCACATCGTGGCCTCGCTGCAGGAGCGCGAGAAGCTGCTGCGCCAGTCGCCCCCGCTGTCGGGCCGCGAGGAGGAGGCGGGCGTGGGGGACTCGGGCATCCAGTCCACGCCGGGCTCCGGGCACGCCCCGCGCACCAGCTCCTCCTCTGACGAGTCCAAGCGCTCGCCGCTGGCCAAGACTCCGCTGGGCCGCCCCGCCGGGCCGCGCTTCGGCAAGCCCGAGGGGCGCCGGGGCCTCGCGTCCCCCGAGCCGGGCCCAGCTGCCCCTTTCTTGGGCAGGTCCACGTCTTACAGCAGCCAAAAAGCCCCGGCCAGCGTCTCGGAGGCGGAAGAGGTGGCCCTGCAGCCCCTGCTGACCCCCAAGTAAGTGGGCGGCCTGCGTGGCGGGCTGTGGCGGGACCGCGGGGAGCGGCGGGTGCGCCCCGCAGCCCCTCGGCGTGCGCCCCCCTGATGCCCGCCGCTCCTCCTCTTCCAGAGACGAAGTGCAGCTGAAGAGCGCCTACAGCAAATCCAACGGGCAGCCGAAGAGCATGGGCCCGGCCGCGCCCAGCCCCGGGCAGCCGCCGCTCAGCAGCCCTACGCGGGGCGGCGTGAAGAAGGTGTCGGGGGTGGGCGGCACCACCTACGAGATCTCCGTGTGAGTCGCTGGCGCCTGCTGCCTACACCAAAGGGCCCGGGGCCACCTTCCCTCGAGGGCGCCCGCCCGGGACCTGGTGAGCGCCCTCGGAGGACAAGGGGCGGCCGGGTGCGCGCTGGGCCTGGGCCGGGAGACCGGGGAGCCGCCCGGCCCGCTCCCTGTGAAGCCGCCCTCCTCCTCCCCACCAGACTCAGTGGACGTTGTGCAATGCTCGCTCTGGAGGGAACCAGATCATTTTTAAACCAGAAATAATTTTTTTTATTATTGTTACGGATTCTATTTTTTTCCTCTTCTGCGTTACCAGGTGTGTGTGTACATATATATATATTATATATATTATAAATATCAAAGAAATTATATATCTATCTGGGCTGGGAAGATGGGAGGGCTGTGTATAAGGAGGGAACGCCCCTCCTCCCCCTCCCCAGGCCAGCAGGAAGAGACCCAGCCCCCTCCGTGGGACCCCCGCCACCGCCTGGGAGCCAGCGCCCTGTTGCTGCCGGCGATGGGTGGGGCTAGAGCAGGGCCGGGCCTGGCAGGGGTGGAGCCTGGGGAGGACGAAGAGTGGCAGGGGCTCCTGGCGCCCCAGGAAGGGGCAGAAGCCCTGGGTGGGGCCGGCTGCTTGAGCGCTCGCCTGGCCCGCTGGGCGGCAGCACTGCGCCCCCCTTCCTGGGGGAGGCAGCGGGGCCTCGTGAACCCCTCCCAGCTCTCCCCAGTTTACACGGTTAACGTCAAATCAAGGACAGAAGAATCCAAAAAGCAATATTTTTAATCATATGCCAAAAACTGGGGGCGAGAGGAGGAGCGGCAGGCCCCGGCCCCGCCGTCGCGCTGTCCCCGGGTCGCCCTCAGCCCGGCCGGATGGTGCTGGGGAGAGGGCTGCTGGGCTCTGACTACACAGGAAGGCCCGGCCTCCGCACAGAGGCCCATTTATTTTTATTGATTAGCCATTTTAAACCAGCAAGGAATAAAAAGAAACCCTGCTCTCACCAGCTCCCCGCCGTGGTGTTTGTCTTGTCAAGGCAGGCTGTGCTCGGAAGTCATCCCAAGGAAAACCTCGTCTTCTCCGTCCCAGCCCGTCTCGGGCAGGACAGGGGAAAGCTGCTTCTAACAACAGGCTGGGTTTCATTTGGGTGAAGCAAGGTTTTTTGGTTTTTGAGATAAGGTCTTGCTGTGTAGTTCACCTGGCCTTGAACTCTGTAGCCCAGGATGGCCAGAAACTCAGGATTCTTCCTGCCTCAGCCTCCAGAGTGTGAGGATTATAAGGGTGTGGACAGTTTAAAATAAAGACTTCTCACAAAGAAAATGTTAGGCGCAGTGGTGTGAGCCTTTAATGACAGCTACTCAGGAGGCTGAGGAGGCAGACTGCATGTTTAAGGGCAATTTAGTGAAACCTTATCTCAAAAAAAAAAAAACGAACAGCTCAATGGTAGGACACTTGTCTTGTGTGTGCAAGGCCCTGGGTTCAGTCCCCACTACTGAAAAAACAAAACACTCTGAAAAAGTCTGGTACCAAAGCTCATCATTTCAGCTCAGAGACGCGTGACTTGTGTCCGGATTCCCCTGCTTTTCCCCTGGGAAGTGGCTCCTTTTGCAACAGCCAGAAAAGCATCCCTGCACCGGACCTCAGGACGCGTCTGTAGTGTCCGGAAGTGAAGTGCACAGCGCTGACTGCCGGTCAATCCCGCCAGCTGCTGGGATGGAGCTCAGCAGCACAGCACCTGCCTGGCGAGCGTGAGGTAGTTTGAATCCCAGTACAAAAAAAAGGTTCAAGGCCAGCCTAGACCCGCCAGAGCGTGGCCTTTAGGTTCCCTGTGTGAACGCGCGCTCCCGCCCGCAGGCGGGGCTGAGGCGGGCTAAGCTGAGCAAGGCGCTCTGTCGCAGGACCGGGTGTGGTCGTGACGCCCAGCACAGGCGGCACCCGGGCCACACCGGTGGCATTTTCTGTCACAGCCTGCTACCAAAACAGCAAAGGCTTCAGTCTGCGCGGCTTTGCCTGAGCCTCGGGACAGGGCAGGTCAGATGTCCCGAGAGCGCAGCAGGTGCCTCTGCCTGCCTGCTGGGAGCTCGCTGCCAAGGCCGCCTCACATGCTTCTGGCCTCAGAACACTCTTGCTGACACACTGCACGACAGGGTGCTTCTCAGTGGGGTGCTGTTTCCACACAAAAGGACCCCCGCTTCTCAGGTGGAGCCTGGAAGTTTCCCACGTGTCTGCCTCACCTGGCTGCCTCTGCTGGCTCGGGAGAGCGCACTGATGAACGCCCTGCTGTGCCACCCTTTTTCTGTGGCACTGGGGACTGGACTCGCCTTGTGCATGCCAGGCAAGCACTCCACCTGAGCCCCATGCCCGGCCCACTGCCACTTTAAGCCCCGACTTGGAGAAGGGCACTTAGCTCTTTTTTCCTTTACAGTACTGGGATTAAACCCCCGGCCGCCCCACTGAGTTACATCCCCAGCCCTTTCTAAACATTTTTTATTTGGAGACAGAGTCTTGCTAATGAACTCCATCTTCCTGCCTCAGCCTCCCAGAGTGCCATTACTATAGGCCTGCATTCCGCCAGCTAACTTACCTTTTAACAGGCAGACACACTTCAGTCAGTTTGATAATTCAACTTTTTTAGTGAAAATCCCTAACAAGTCAAGTCCTGAAATCAGACAAAATTGCACAAAGGAAAGAAACAAAATGCTTCCTGGGAGAGGAAGACCGGTCCAAGAGGAAGTAACTGGGCGGGGCCTGCAGAAGCACAGCCTTCCTCCCTCCTGAAGCACTGGCCTCGGCCTCGGCCTGGCCTTGTGTCGTCCGGGTTCCGGCTCCAACACCAGTGCTCCCGAGGCAGGAAGAGCCGTCCCACCTCGGCGACTGCTCATCCTGTTAGCGGAGGCTGCTGCTGCTGCTGGCCTGGGAGCTGCCCATGCCCGGGTGGTCGGGGCTGTGTCGGCTCTGGGGGACAGGGAGGGCGGGTGAGAACCCCGAGAGCGGAGCCTGGAAGACCGCGCACATCCCCTGTGCCTGCTCTCGGGCCAGCCTGCGGCCAGGACACCACCCAGCACCGAGGACCAGCAAGCCCCAGGCTGCCACCGTACCTTCTTCTTTTTCTTCTCTTTCTTCTTCCTTTTGCGTTCAGGGTCTTCTTCTTTCTTCTTTTTCTTCTTCTTGTGATCTGAGTCTGAAGGTGTTTCTGCAGGACACACAGGTGCTGCCCCCTCAGCTCAGGCTCCTTGACTGCTGGGAACCCTGCTGTCTGGGTGCTGCTCTCTAGGTGGCTGCGCCTGACGCCCCACCCCAGGTCCCCTCGCTCGGGAGACCCTGACCCCGGCACCCACCTCCCCCCTGGGGTAGGTGGGCGGCCCCTCGCCCTTGCACGCACGCGGCCTGCTTACCTGGAGGCACCGGGTCCTGGGTGCGGCTCTGCTTGTGCTTGTGCTTGTTCTTCTTGGGAGGCTGGATATGCATGAGGCGGCACTGCTCCGGCAGCTGCAGGGACACAGGCCAGCTCAGGGCAGCGGAGCGCAAGCCTGGCTCCCACATGCGGTGTCTGCTCAGCGTGCCAGGAAGGGCTGGGCAGGGGCAGCAAAGCGACCGTGTGCCCTCCTCCCCCCCGCAGCGGGACTCACCGGGCCGGTGTGGAGCCGGAAGCCGGACAGCATGGTCCCTGTGATGGGATTGAAGGAGCCACCCAGGATCGGGGGTTTCTCGATGAGGGAGCGGAGGCTGCTGTTGTCATGGGAACCTGGCAGGTCAATCATCCCAGGCAGGTCTGGCAGGAAGTTGCTCAGCTTCTCCTTGACCTTCTTGCCACAGAACTTGTTGTAGGCCTGCTCCAGGTTGTAGTGCGTGATCAGATTTGTGCTGCCTGTGAGCTCCGTGCTGCCTGCAGGGCCCACGGGCAGAGCAGAGGTCAGCGCCCAACAGAGAGCTGAGCTCACCACCCGGAGGGAGGCAGGGCTGCGCTCCCACCTAAGTGCAGATGCTTCTAAGCAGAAAGTGACAAGCTCTCAATTTCTAAAGTAAGAACACAGCAAAAGTAAATACAGGTGGAGCAACCCTAATTTTAAAACCGTGGAGATGCTGTGGAAGCACTGAATTCCACCAGGACACTCAAAAAGTTTCAGATTTTGGCTAGATGTTTGTACCCCTGTGATCCCAGCTATTCAGGAGGCTGAGGCAGGACGATAGCAAGTTCAAAGCCAGCCTGTGCAACTTCGTGAAAGTGTATCTCAAAAAAGAAAGTCCGGGTATGTATCCCAGTGTTCCCTGGATTCAATCCCTAGTACCACCATAAAGCAGTCAATAAATTTGGATACTACAGGTTTCACATTTTTAGGTTAGGACAAAGTACGCAAATAGCCTGAAATTTGAAACACTTCTGGTCCCAGGGGTTTTGGATGAGGACCCTGGAGCTGTGATAACATATGATGAACAAGAACAGACAGTGGGCGCGACAGCGACTCTGGGTAACCACACGGCTGTGCGTGCTTTTCAGAAAATGCAGCGAGTTCCTTCCTCTGACCTCAACAGGGTAACAGCACCTCACAGCCCAGCACGGAGATGCAGAGTAAGACAGCATTTTGCCAAGGCTGCGAGAGTCTGGAAAGTTGGAAAGCACTTTTTTCTGTAGGGTTAGGGAGGGGGATACATCCTCCTCCTCAGCCCTTTGCAAGTTTTTACCTGGAGACAGGGTCTTAGCAAGTTGCCAAGGCCGGGCTCGAACCTTTGCTCCTTCTGCCTCACCCTCCCGAGGCCTTGCTGAGGTCCACTACAACCTCATCCGTGCTGAGGATGGACACAGAGGGCACCGACGGCGAAAGCGGCCGAGGAGCTGCCGGAGGGCAGAGGCAGAGTCCCCAGCGCAGCACGCCACGCACACGAACGGCCGCCCGCAGAGTCCCGCACTTTTCCTCGCTGTCGCGGGCAGGGCAGCTGCCTCATCTCCTCCCACCAGCCCCGCTGCCCTGCGCTTCCGCTCCAGGAGGAAGGCACTCGGGCTGCCGCTCAACCCTGGAAGAGCTTAACTTCCTGTTCCAACCCTTAGTTCTGTGAAGGTCATGGACAAACCTTGCTCCCCAGCCCTGCCTCCTCTCCTGAAAAAATCTGGCACCCCCAAGCCCTTCATCAATTCCATGCAAATTCAGTGTTTTCCTAGAAACTCCAAATCCTGGCTGGGGATGTAGCTCAGCGGCACAAGTGCCTGCCTGGCGAGCCGAAGGGCCTCAGTTTGAGTCCCAGTACCAAGACAAGAAAAAAAAAAACAACTCCAAATGCTGCCCACATTCCTCAGGGCGTTTCTACTTCACGTCCTCCAGGTGTTTTCACAAAGCAGCGCTCCTAGTTCAGAACCCTCGGAGGGTTCCTATCGGCCGCAGGGAGAAGCGCCAACTTCTGACTGGCACCAAACCACTTCTCACTTCGGCTGCAGCTGTGCCACCTACACAACCCCACTCTTTCCGTGTGGAATTCCACGTCCATCCAAATGGTGTCCACGTCTGCTGGGGTAGGGGGCTTCTATTTCATTGTAGGAAAAGTCTTCCTAATTTTCTTCAGCTCTAGAAATTCTTTAAGGTCCTATTCATATGACACCTTGTTCTTACTGTCATTTTAGATGAGAACACATTTTGTAAATTATTGGTAGTTTTTAAAATTGTTTGCTAGAATAGTGTTCACTGGGATAGGCAAGGCACAACCACCAACTGACGACCGCCACTGACGAGAAGTACAGTCGCTACACATAAGCTGTATTTTATATCCTTAACCAAGTAAGCGCCTTTGAAAAGCAAGGACCAAGGGTGGAATAGTGTGGAAGGGTGAGGCTGAGGCAAGGGGATTGCAAACTTGAGTCCTGCTGGGACAATTTAGAGAAATGTCAAAAGATAGGCAGCCTTGTTACGCCTCAAGTTTTTTCCAACTACAAAACGGACATATTCCTACCTCCAGAGCTACTAGAAGCATTAAATACTACTATATGGTTGTGTTGTGAACTTCCAAGTACTCTTCCAATGGTTGTTATTACTTCCCTTAAATCAGGAGATGGACTGAAGGGAAAAGAAGACTCGGCAAGAGCTGGGTATGATGGCTGTGCCTGTAATCCTAGCACTCTGGGAGGCTGAGGCAGGAGGATCGCAAATTTGAGCCCAGCCTGGGCAACTGAGCAACTTAGCAAGACCTTGTCTCAGACTCAAAAAAAGGGGTAGGGGTGAGGGTGGGGGTGTAGCTTAGTGTGAAGGTCCCGGGTTCAATCCTCAATACCACGTAGAAGAAAAAAGCATTTTGGGGATCTGATGGGGGTGAACTAAAATGCATTCTGGAGACTCAACACATCCAAAACAATGACTTCCACCTCCTCAAATTTACTTCATCCTCCCAATCTGAGGCTCCCATCTACCAACTACTCAAGCTACGACCTCACAAATCGCCCTCAGTTCCTCTCCTCCCCTTCTACATTTCACTCATTTCTGGCAGCTGACCTGTACCTGGCATCCATCCCCTTCACAGCCCGGTTAAAAACCATCGCCTCTTCGGGGACTACCGAGCGGTAACTTCTCACATGTGCCCCCACTTTGTGCTCCGGAGTAGCTGCTTGAATAATGAATAAATTCGATCATTTCCCCCACATATTAAGACCGCTTGCCTTGGAGGTCGGAACCGCAATGGTTCCACTGCCCGGCCAAGGCCTGTGCGTCCCCATCTCTCTCGCGCTCTGTCCCACTGCCCTTGCCTGGTTCTCATCACCGGGGCCCCACAGGACTTCCATCCCACCACCTCCAGGCACTCTCTCAATCCGGACTCCTGATACCGAAGAACACCTCTCCCTTCTGTCCACAGGTTCTGTCGACCCACAACTGTGGCTCGGATGTCCACGGCCAGAGAGTTCCGTGGTCACTCTAAAGTCGTTCCCTGCTCTCAGTTATTTATCCACATTTCTCCTCGTGGTATTAACCACTATCTGGTGTTCTTTGTTTACATTTTACCTCCTCTAATGACTTACAAACTTCAAAAGGTAAGGATCTTATCAGTCTTGTTTACACTGTAACTCCAGCATTTTTCGCTTTGCGGTACGGAGGATGGAACCCACAGCCTTCACCCTAGGCTACATCCCCAGCCCTTTTCGTATTTCTGTTTTAAGGCAGGGTCTTGCTAAATCTCTTACATTGCCCGGGGTGGGCTCGAACTAGCGAGCCTCCTGCCTCAGCCCCCCACGTGTTGGAATTACAGGTGTGCCCCAGCAGGTCCTTGTCGAAATATTTAAAAAAAATTTTTTTTTTCCAAATACGTTTTAATAAAAAGACTTGGTTCAATTTTTAACCCCACCTTTGAAAATTTGAATCGCCGATCCCCTAAAAAGGCAATCTGCCCCAAGCCAACAAATTTGCGACACACTGAAAACTAAAACCTTAGATTCAAACTCAAGCCCTGGATCTTTTTTTTTTTTTTTTTCAGGAAACCACACTCGTCAGTGACAGGACCTGAATTTAGAGCGAAAAACTGCCTCGGAGATGCCCATCTATCCACTCCACGGCATCCTACACTAACCCTTTAGTTGTGAATACTAACAACACTGACTTAAAGCCGCACGAACTGGCCACGCGTTGCCTAGGTTACCTCGCACCTCCGGCCGCAGGATGGTAGCCACGCCCATCACCCCTAGCTCTGATTTGATTGGCTGGCTTCGGCCAGGCCTAGTACGCACCTGGTAGCTCCCTCATTAGGTAGAAAGGCCCACAGCCGGCCGCTGACTTGTCTGCACCTGGGGGAGCCGTGGCCGTGGTGGGGGGCGCCGCCGTGCCCGGTCCCCCGCCAGGAGGAGGCGGAGGTGGAGGCGGAGGCTTTCCTGGCCCGAAGCTGAGTGCTGTGGGGGGCGGTGGTGGGTCAGCCTGAGCTCCGAACAGCGCCGTGAAATTCTCCATCGTCCTTTCGGCCCCGGCGCTGCTCTTCTGTAGGGCGTTAGTGATTTTCATTGGGTAATCCTTTGAGTGGGCACCGCCCTCCTCCTGTGGGAAACTCCGGTCATTGGCTATGTCGGGCCACGCCTACCTTCTTCCGGCGACTGCTTCCGTCGCTTCTTGAAAACGTTCCGGAAGTGCTAGCTAACCTTCTGAAACTCGTCTCTCGGAGGGCGGGGTCGTCAAAGTTACATATCCAATGAAATGACTTAGGTTGGAAAAGCGACAGCTAGATTGACCAATGAAATCTTCCGTCCCTCTTTTAGGTCGGGCTTAATGTACCGTCTAATCAGAGATCTATTTCCGGGCCCAAAGATTTTTTTTTTTTTTTTTTTTTTTTGCCCAATAAAGTCTCGAGGCCGGGGGGCGGGGCCAGCCGCACTGAGGCCGCAGGGCGGCGGGTGCCGCTCGGGCCGGGAAGATGGCGGTCCTCGCACCTCTAATCGCTCTGGTGTACTCCGTGCCGCGGCTTTCTCGATGGCTGGCCCGGCCTTACTGCCTCCTGTCAGCCCTGCTCTCTGCTGCTTTCCTACTCGTGAGGAAACTGCCGCCCCTCTGCAACGGTCTCCCCACCCAGCGCGAAGACGGCAACCCGTGCGACTTTGACTGGGTGAGCGCCCCCTGTCTCCGCCGGGGCGACCTTGACGGTCCCTGCGCGCAGGCGCGGCCGGGCCGGGGCTCCGGGCGGCTTAGAGTGCGAGGCGCCGCCGGACACCGAGGCCGTCCGGTTCTGAGCCCATCTCTGCGCTCCTGGGGCTACAGTCAGCGCCTACGAACTGGGCCTCGTCTCCCGCCTTCTTTAAAATTTTGAGACAGGGTCTCTCTAAGTTGCCTGGTTTGAGACGGATCTTGAGGTCTTCCTGCCTCAGCCTCCCGAAGTGCTGGGATGACTTGCGTGCGCCCCCACGCCCCGTGTAATTCCTGCCTGTTTCCATCTCACCATTCGTACTAATGGACGGGCCCTGCCAAACCGCACCCGCACAGCTCCGTACGGGGCTGCTCACTGCGACGCCGCCGGCAGCCAGCGGCGAGGTCGGTGTGTCCCCACCTGTACCTTGAGCACGGCAGCTGCGCGCACTGCACTGTCCTAGCTCCTTACACGTGTCCAGAGTCCACATTCTTTTCTAACCGCTATGCAGGACTCTGGGGATGCAAAGCTGAATCACATAGTGAAACATATTGAAAAAAAAAAAAAAAAAAGCTACAAATACATTGTAAACAAACCCACCTGCCCAGCTCAGGCCCGGAATCCCGACTACAGCCGCGGCTCAGGCAGGAGGATCCCAAGTTCAAGGTCAGCCTCGGCAGCTTAGTGCGGTTCTACCTCCAAGTACGAAATAAGGGCTGGGGCTGGCGCGCGGTGGTCGAGGAGCGCCGCGAGTTCATTCCCCAGGGCAGGAAAGAAAGCGGTCAGTCTGAAACCAAGCCAGTGCCTAGGCAGGAGTGCGGGGCGGAGCGCACGGCGAAACAGTTCTCTACGATTGTGTTGCCTCTTCCAGAGCCCAAAGTGAATCTGGACTTTCACCGGAACCCATTCCCTGAGCTTTTCCTGCCTCCTTTCTTCTCTCTTGCCACCTCTGTCCTTTTCCAGACAGTATTTGTTAGCTGTAAAGTAGCCAGCTTGTCCAGAGATCCTCTATCACGGTAAGGGAGATGAGACTCAAAGGTATACGTGTATAGTAATAAGAACTTTAAGGGGCTGGGGATTTAGCTCAGCGGCAAAGCGCCTGCCTGGCAAGTGCAAGGTCGTGAGTTCGGTTCCCGGTACCGGAGAAAAACCAAAAAAAAAAAAAAAGAACTTTAATAAATGTAGGAGACCTTTTACAGAATTAATTTCTCCGTACATCCCCTCCCCTCCAGCACTAGGGATGGGACCCAAGGCCTTGTGTATGCCAGGCAAGTGTTTAGACCCGCGATTCTCTTGCCTCAGGCTCCTGAGTGGAAGAAACTGTATCTTTTGTCTCACTGTGGAGGGTTTCAGGCCCTGGAGCCTCCGGCTGGTGGCCAGGCAGCCCCTCAGAGGGAGCACGGGGCCAGAGTCACCTGTGCTAGGAAGCAAGAGCAAGAAAGGGCCAGAGTCCCACAGGGGACCCCAAGGTCCCGCTGTCCTCCCACAAGGTCACACCTCCTGCACCGCCTTGGAGACCAAGCTGTGAGTAAGTCTTTGAAGGACATTCAGGACCTAAGTTCCGTGCCAGACACAGTGGTGTGTGTCAATCGTTCCAGCTACTGGGGAGGCTGAGGCAGGGGCATCCCTTGAGCCCAAGAGTTCAAGACCAGCCTGGGCAATATAGTGAAACCGTGTCTCCAATATAAACTGCACTTGGGAGGCTGAGGCATGACGATCATGAGTTCAAGGACTGCCTGGGTACATAGTGAGACTATCTCAAAAAACAAAAACATGCGTTGGGTGTGGTTTTGCACACTGGTAACCCCAGCACGTGGGAGACTGAGGCAGGAAGACTGCCAAGTTTGGGGCCAGCCTGAAACCTAGCTCAGCTTTGTCCCACGGCCTGGGCTCCCCCCACCCCGAGCACTAGGAGCTGCAGAAGGCCAGCGGGCGGGCCACGCGTCACTACGTGCACTCTCCACGCACGAGTGCAGTCCTGGTCCCCCCTGCCGCCGCTGGTGAGAGAAGGCTGGGTGTGTCTCGCTGTGGCCTTTTGGGAGGGCCTGAACCACGGTCTACGGTCTGTGTAGCTGGTCCACGCTTCAAGCATGATGCCCTTAGGCCTGCATTTGGCCTCCCGGTTGACCACGGTTCATTCTTTTTCCGTGCTGAGGACTGAAGCCAGGGCTACACGTGTGCTTTACCGCTGAGCTGCACCCAGCCTTGAGGTTCCTGAAGTGAAACCCCAACGGCTCTGTTCCTGAAAACCCTGCCTCGTTTTTACTTCAGTTGATCATTGTCCCTCACTCCCATTTTGCATGTCTTCACCTATAAATACTTTGTGTTGCAGACTGAAGCTCAAATTCTGGTTGTTCTTGGTTTTTGTCTGAAATAACAGTGTCGCCTCCACCCCCACCCCATATTATAAACAGGATATGAAAGAGACAGGAACGGTGGTACAGGCCTGAAATCCAAGCATTCTGGGAGGCTGAGGCAGAAGGATTGCAAGTAAGAGCCTAGCCTGGACAGAGACACTATGTCTCAAACATTTTTTTAAGGCTGGGTGTGATGGTCCACGCCTGTAACCCCAGCACTCAGGAGGCTGAGGCAGGATAGCCATGAGTTGGAGGCCAGCCTGGGCTATATAGCAAGACCCTGTCTGAAAAAAAAAATTATTTTTATTTATTTATTTATTGTCTTTTTGAGACAGGGTTTCACTATGCAGTTCAGGCTGTCCTTGAGCTCACTTTGTAGCCCAGGCTGGCCTTGAACTCACAAGGATCCTCCTGCCTCAGCCTCATGAGTGCTGGGATTATAGGTGTGTGCAAAATTTTTTTTAAAAAGGGCTGGGGTATAGCTCATTGCAGAGTCCCCAGGTTCAATGCCCAGTACCACAAAATAAATAAGTAAATAAATGAAGAAGTGAAGGAAGGAAGGAATGCTAGGGAAGGCCTTGGACAACCCAGTCTGTACTCTCTCTGACCCATGCTTTCTTCTCAGATGGACCTTATTCTTGTAGCCTTTACTCTTTAAAATCATTGTGCAGGTCTTTGTTTATTGTCTCACCTTGCTTGTGAGGTTAAACTGTAAAAGGTGTGAGAGAGCTGTGCTAGCCAAGGGTTGGAAAGGTCGTCAGGACCTCTCACAGTCCCCTTGAGCTCTCCAATTATACTAACAGTGTGTGCGTTATTACTGTTAAGTATGAGGAGGGAAGAAATGGCTGCATTTGAGCAGAGCCAAACAAACGCAACAGCCAGATCCTGGTTTGGTTTTGTTTTTAAAGACAGGGTTTCCCTAAGCAGTTCAAGTTGGCTTTAACTTGTTATCTTCCTGCCTTACAGGCATTAGAAACTGTGTTAATATGTCATAGAGCGCAGGTATAAACCCAGCAGTCTGTAGGCTGAGGCAGAAGGATTGCACATTCAAGCCCAGTGTGGGCTACATAGTGAAACCCTATCTCAAAAAACCAAAACCAAAAAATCAAAATCAGAACCACTTGGGAGGCTGAGGCAGGAGGAACACTGTGAGTTTGAGGCCAGCCTGGGCTTCACAGTGAGTTCAAAGTCAGCCAGAACTACACAGACAGACCCTGTGTCAAAAAAAAAAAAAATCAAAACAAAAAAAACTAACCAAAGGAGAACACTAACTGAACACAAATGCCCCAGGCTGAGGAAGGAACTGAGCTCTTCTTTTTGATTGGTGTTTTTCCCACTTAGCTGACAGCAGGTTTCTGTGGTTTTCACTTTTTTTTTGGTCTTTGAGACAGGGTCCCCCTGTGCAGTCCGAAGCGGACTGAGCTCAGCCTGACCTCTGCGTTTCTCTGTGCGCTGTAGCCTCCGCACCGGGGAGTTGCACAGCCCCCTGTCCTGTGCTCTGGTTGCAGAGGGAGGTGGAGATCCTGATGTTCCTCAGCGCCATCGTGATGATGAAGAACCGCAGGTCGAGTGAGTGCAGCTCTGGCTCGGGTGGCTGGGGTCTGCAGGAGGCTGTGCTTCCGCCACCCCCGATCCTACCTCTCAGGCCAAGGCCGGGTCTGACCTTGGACCCTGCCCTCCCCACCCGCTTCCCCAGACCCCGGGAAGAGGGAGGAGGGCTGGCCGGCTGGGAGGAGCTGCGGGCCAGGCTGACTTGCTGCCCTGTGCTTCAGTCACCGTGGAGCAGCACGTGGGCAACATCTTCATGTTCAGCAAGGTGGCCAACGCCATCCTGTTCTTCCGCCTGGACATCCGCATGGGGCTGCTGTACCTCACGCTGTGCATAGGTGAGGTCCTGCCTTCTCTGCTGGGGACAGAGCCCTTCTGCCTGTCTCCTCCCCCTCCGGCCCGCCGTGGCCCGCTGACATGTGGTGTAGCTCAGGTGATGAGAACTTGCACGGGCTGTGTTTTAAGATGGGAAGATGCCAGCTGCTGTGGTGCGCTGCTGGAATCCCAGCACTCTGTAGGCTGAGGCAGGAGGATTGCAAGTTCAGACTCAGCCTGGGCAACTTACTGAGACCCTGTGTCAAAGTAAGCAATACAGAGGGGCTGCGGATGTGAAGGCGCGGGTTTGCTCCCTGGAGCAGCAGGGGAGAGAGCCCAAGAGGAAGGGGCTGAGTGGGTGCCCGGCGTGCCTCTGGGAGTGGTTCTCTGGTGGCTGACGGCCCGCGCGGCCACTGGAAGTGAGTGCCCTGTCCAGGAGGGTGAGCGTGGCCCTGATGGCTGTGTTCCGTGCCCAGTGTTCCTGATGACCTGCAAGCCCCCGCTGTACATGGGCCCCGAGTACATCAAGTACTTCAGCGACAAGACCATCGACGTGAGTGTGCTCCTCCCGTCGCTGGGGTCTCTGGAGTGAGGGCTGGGGCCGGGCAGTGGGGCCCAGCTCACGCGTCCCTTCCTGCGGCAGGAGGAGCTGGAGCGGGACAGGGGCGTCACGTGGCTGGTGGAGTTCTTTGCCAACTGGTCCAGCGACTGCCAGTCGTTCGCTCCCATCTACGCGGACCTCTCCCTCAAGTGAGCATGGAGCAGCGGCGGGCTCTGCTGGCCCTTCCCCCTCCCCAGATGCCCCCTCCGCCCGCCCCTCCGCGTTCTCAGGGTGTGAAATGACCCATTCACTCTCCCAGGTACAACTGCGCAGGGCTGAATTTCGGGAAGGTGGACGTGGGGCGCTACACGGATGTCAGCACGCGGTAGGCAGCCTGGCGGGGCGCAGGTGCCGTCTCTCGGTGGCACAGCCGCGCTGAGACCCCTCTCCGGCCTGCAGGTACAGAGTGAGCACGTCGCCCCTCACCAAGCAGCTCCCGACGCTCATCCTGTTCCAAGGCGGCAGGGAGGTCATGCGGCGGCCGCAGATCGACAAGAAAGGGCGCGCGGTCTCCTGGACGTTCTCAGAGGTGCGGAGGGCCCGGCGTGAGGGGTGCAGGGCAGGGAGCACTGATCGAAGCCCAAGACCCCACTCCGCCCCTGCCAGAGCTCCGAGGGCGTGGACCGTGCCCTGCGCCTCAGTGTCTGTCCGTCCTGCGGAGCTGATAACACAGCCTCTGCCAGCCGGGACTCGGTCTGCAAGGCCCCCGGGGTGGCCAGTGCGGGGGGCAGAGCCGGGCCGGCATTCAGACTGCCCTGCAGGGTTGCACCGGGGTGAAGGCTATGTTGCTAAAACAGCCAGACTGCACCAAGGCAGATTCCTGGCCTTACTTCCTCCTTTCCTACAGTGTCTCGGTGCTTCTTCCTCAGCCGGCCGTCGTGGCGCGTGCCTGTGATCCCAGCACACTGGGAGGCTGAGGCAGGAGAACTGCTAGTTTGAAGTCTTTTGAGATCTGAGTGCCTGTCTCAAAATCAGAGACTAAACAGAGGCTGGGGTTGGAGCTCAACCGAGAGGCCCTGGGTTCGATCCCCAGGCCTGCAAAACACAGCAAAAGCTTTCCTGGGCTCTAAATTCCTGACGTGTTGGTCTCTTTGGTGCAGGAGAACGTGATCCGGGAATTCAACTTGAACGAGCTGTACCAGCGGGCCAAGAAGCTGTCCAAGGCTGGTGACGGCACTCCGGAGGAGCAGCGCGCCGGTCCGGGAGCGGAGGACAAGAAGGTCAAATAGGCCCCTCCGGCGTCCTGTCCCCGAGGGCGCTGCGCCCTGGCGCTCCCAGCGCCGAGCCGCCGCCTCC